GTGTGTGTGTGTGAACGGTCGCTCTCCATGGACGCGTTGGGACATCGCATTAAGATAACAGCGCACGAGTCGACATCCAATTACTTTGATAGCAGAGGACTTGGCGAGCCCGTCGGCAGCAGGACGGCAGGCGACGGCGGAACGTCTACTCTGCACACATTTCCTTCTTCCCAATTCATTTTTCTCTTTTCACTCGCAAAACCCTATCTTCGATGACGGTGTACTGTAAAACATTGTGCAGTACCTGTAAAGTTCAACATTGTTCATAATGGCGGTTTAACAAACGATTGTACATAACTCCCTCGTAGCACATATGTACCGTTCTTAGAACGTTTACGGAACGTTCGGGGAACCAGAAAACGTTCTTAGAAGGTTGTCTGAATGTTTGGTGCTACAAGGGCTGGTGCGATAGCATTGAAATAATTTTTTTTCAGTAAATGCTAAATTTTCTAATGATATAATAATAAAGATCTCTGGAAAGGAGGTGAAAAGGTGATAGTTAGCCTCACTCAGAATAGCTATTTGTCAGCTGAGGGAATAAATAGGCCTAGAAACAAAAAGCCAAAGAAACATTTGAACAAAAGTTTTTAATGATAATTATAATTGGTGGAACAAAGATGTCATCAAACCGAGTACACCAAATCAACATGACTAGATCGTCTAATCAACAGGATCGAAGTTTGGTAGGCGGGACGAAAACTTTGTTGGCTGCTTTGACACCATTATTTCGTTACGCGGACAAAATGGTTTTCTGAGTGCTCATACGCATACTTTGCTTTTGTGTTTGACGACGATGATCGTGGATGACGACACCTCTGAACTAAAAAATAGCCATGGCACACATATTGTCGCCATTGTGACAAGAAATTTTTACAGTGTATCGCTGGGACATGTCCGACGTGGAACTGTGTAGTTCCTCTCGCAACTGTCGCAACTCCACAATTTGAAAGAAGAATGCGTATTAATTGGTATGTATTTATTTTTTACACTGTACTACACAAGATCGGCTTGCGTGACTTTTCCACCCTTCTTTTTGAAATTCGTTTTCTTGACAGTGCATCACGCAGCCAGTCCGGCACCGCACCGGAGAGTGTTTCCAGCCCGCCCCGTGGCTTTGACATGCTAATAGGTATCGGGTACCAAAGAGAGCAAAAGACTGACCACTGTTGTGTGGCCGAGAGCTCTGCGGGGCCTGGCGGGTAGGGGCTCAGCCCCCGCCCCCCCTTCCACCACCGGTAGGTAACACTCGCCGAGTCGTCCGGTCTGCAGTTGCTCATCGGTGTCGCTTAGAAGGAAGGCACTCCTGGGTTCGTACTTCACAGGTACGAAGATGCGGTGCGAGTAGAACACAAAAACGAAAATGGAAAGACACATGCATATCCATACATCGAAAACTGTCATAACTTTCCAGGGCACCTTGAATCGCAATGCGGAAATCGACAGTTTCTCATACTCTTAATTGATGACCTTAGTTTCAGTTTTGCCCCCCTCCGTTCCGTTCTCTTCAAACCTTTGGGGAGTACTTTGGTTTTCGACGCAAAGTTAGCAGAGTTTGAATTCGGCCCAAATGAGGTATTTTGCGAATAAGAAGAACAGGAGGAATCCCGGCCGACGTCTGCTCCCGGACCATAGCAAAGCCATGACCAAGCGCACGGTTTCTCGCGTATCTTCGCTAATACTGAAAAGAAGACCTTACTGTTCTATATCATTTTAAAGCTGAGAACTTCAAGAATCTGCGCCAGTGACCTGCTGCTTGTTATGGTCCAAAAGCCGGGATTCCTTCTGTTCTTCTTATTCGTAAAATACCTCATTTGAGCTCGAGCGCCCATCACACACGAATCACCTCGACGTGCATACGACAAAAGCGACGTGAGCCCAAACACGTGACCTCGGCGTGACTCGTTACTAGACGGCACTACTCGTACTCATGTCGGGCCGTGAGAGCCCGAGCGGAGCCGTCGCGTCCGCGGGCCGCGGCAGGCCAGCCCGGCGTCAAGCGATTCGTAACGCACTCAGCGACGAGAAAAGTGTGGCGGTGAAATGGACGGGGAAGAGAACGAAGAAACGGAAAAAAGTAGTGTATCAAACGGTGTAAAAAAAAAAGAAAAGAAAAGTTAGTCGTCGGTCCTTTCAGTGGACGCCCTCGGGCGGCGGTAACCACAGCAGGAAAAGACGGTATGGAGAGCGGGTCGGGTCAGTCACCCGCCCTTCCGATCAGTCACGATCTGTGGTACTGACGGCGTGCTCCGCGGCCACCAGGCCTCCACGACTCGCAAGGGAACGCATGTCTTTACTCCGCACGTCGACGGGAGAAGTACTGTAACGCTTGCTGGGCGAGGGCAGAGTTTGCGAGAAAGGCTAAGTCTACAAGGCGAACGCATCTCGGTTGACAAACGACTCCGTTTGAATTTT